ATCTGTTCATCACCTGTCATGGTAGTAAAATAATCCAGACATGTAGACCACCTACCGACGACTACAAGCACCAGAGCGAGCCGATGTATTCATCACCTGTCATGGTAGTACAAGGAACATTAGGAATAATAAAAAATAATCCAGACATGTAGACCACCTATTTAGCAATATACAATTATCAAAGATAAGACTAAGAGATAATCCATTGTACACAATTCTCTATTGTCTATTCTGAATTATGTGGTGGGCTTAAGATAAAACTTTCTTACCATCCATTATACATGCCATAATGTGTTGTGTATATGAACAACAATATTCCACGGTTTTCCCGCTCTTCATAATGGTTCTCTCTTTACTATTGGTATCTTTTTTTGGAAAAGGAGGTTGACCTCCGGCGCCTCTGCATCAGTCGATGCATGCAGCCATATTATTAAAAAGTGTAACAAGGTCTTAAGTTCCAAGGAAGCTCATAAACCGAGCAAGAATTAAAAAAATAAATCTGTAAAACGCCACATCCGGCGATAATGCGCCACGTCCGGTGATAACGCCCCACATCCGGCGATAAAGAACAGGCTACGATGCCTATACACCTAGCCTATTATTAATTCACCATCCAAATCAACTGAAGATATCCCATGCTACCGTCTCCCAGCGGTTGCACGCAATAGCCAAAATCTCCCTGTAGTCCGCATGAGTGAGTAACGACCACATACGGATCCAAGTTGTAGCTCTGTAGTTAACCTGCAAAAAATTAGTGAATTTTGTCCCATTAAAAATCATATCATTTCTAGTGTTCCATATATCTCAAAATAGTGCACATATCCCTATCTGAATATGTTTAGCTATGTGTATGTCCACTTCATTAATCCACGTCCCAAATAATGTGTTTATGCTCATTGGGGGATGAACGTTAAAAGCTATATGAATTGATCGCCATAACAATTTTACAAGTGGACACTCGAGAAAAAGGTGTTTAATCGACTCATTTTGATCACAAAAACAACACATGGAGTTACCAACCCAATTCCTTTTCATCAAATTATTTTTGGTCAAAATGACTCCTTTGTGGACGAACCACATAAAGATTTTGATGCGACGCGGAATATTAATCTTCCATATGTTCAAAGACCTCGACAATGGCCCGAAATCAATTAAGTTCAAATACATGGATTTCACAGAGAAAATTCCTTTCGTGGTTAACTTCCAGCTAATTGTATCTGCCTGGTTTGAAAGTTGAACATCCATCAACCTATGGACCAGGTGCAGTCAAGCATTCCAACGCCCCCCTACAAGGGATCTCCTAAATTGGATATTAAGTGGTACCAAGTTTAATACTGTTACGACATAATCCTCCTTATGTTTCACAATATTATAAAAGGAAAGGTATTGCAGATCGTCTCCCCTAGTCAGGTATCCTCCCAAAATCTAGTAATGGTACCATTACCAATAGGAACTTCACCCATTGGAAGAAAGTTACTTTTGTCCTCATTAACCCCTTCCAAAAGGGTGAGTCCGTTGGCCTTGCATTCACCTGGGCTAAAATCTTAGAGTGTAGGTATTTATTCCGCAAGATTTGTACCCACATGCCCTCGGTCTTAATAGATATTTTGTATAGCCATTTTCTAAGCAGACATCTATTCTTTACCTCTAAATTTTCGATCCCTAACACGCCTGGTCTTTTGGTCTACACATGATATCCCATCTAGCCAGTCTGTATTTGTTCTTGGCCTCATAGCTTTGCCAGAGGAATCGGGATTTGTGGAAATCTAGTCATTTCCGTACCCTACCGATACTTTAAAGAAAGATAAGAGGAACATCGGCAAACTCGTCAAAACTGAGTTAATCAAAACCAGCCGACCTCCATAAGACATTAGCTTGCCCTTTCAACAACTTAATTTTTTTCTTTCAAATATATCTTCTATACATTTCCATTCTTTGTTTGTTAAACGTCTATGATGAATTGGGATCCCTAGATAACTAAATGGTAAGAATCCAATTTCACAACCGAACAAGTTTCTCTAGTCGTCTTGTTCTTCTTTGGCTCTTCCAAAGCAGAACATTTCGCTTTTATTGAAGTTGATTTTTAGCCCAGACAGTTGCTCAAAAAGGCATAAAATAAGCTTCATATCCCTAGCTTTTGCAAGATCGTGTTCCATGAATATAATAGTATCATCCGCTTATTATAGAACGGAGATGCCCCCCTCTCCAAGATGGGGGACGAGTCCTCCTACTTGGCCACTCTCTTTAGCCCGACTAATAAGTACTGCCAACATATCCGCTACAATGTTAACAACACAGGAGACATGAAGTCCCCTTCTCGTAACCCCTTAATTGCCTGGAAATAATGGCCTGTGTCATCATTGACCTTTATCACGACACTGCCTTTCTGTATGAATGAATCCACCTGTGATCTCCAAGCTTCATTGAACCCCTTCATACGTAAGGCTTGCTGGAGGAAGGGCCATTTGACCTTATCATGCACTTTTTCAAAATCCTCTTTGAAGATAACACGTGCAACGTTTCATGTAGGACCACAACCTCTTATAGGATTTGTCGTCCTGTCATGAAGGCAATTTGAGTTGGTTGCACAACCGAATGTGCTATCTGTGTCAACCTATTCGTGCCAACCTTTGTAAAATTCTTAAAGCTTACATTGAAAACACAGATCAGTCTAAACTGCTCAATGCGAATAGCTTCCACCGTCTTTGGCAACAACGTTATTGTTCTAAAATTAATACGAGACACATAGCCTGCAATTACCGGCCTTGTTGCACCCTTTCACCATCCGATCATGCAACCGTGAAAAATATTTGGATGCGACCGGCTCTCATCTAAAGATAAGAATTAATTAAATACTAGTATCTAAGTGACATTAGTACAAAAAAAGAAAAAAGAAAGAAAAATCTGCAAAGTTTCACATAAAATCAAATGGCACAGGAGTTAGACGGTACTACTTTGTTAATTTTTATGTCTATATCTATACCAATATAAAAAAACTCAAAGAGACGGATCCAATTAATCTCGGACATCAAATTATGTCAATCCAACGACCTAGACTGCTTCAATGTCGAGCGCTCAACACGTTTAGCATGCAGTTAATTTCATGCCAAATATATTGCTAATTACATAATAACACGTAAATAATATCCTACTTAATATCCGCATGCACTTAATATACTTTCTAAATTAATATGCATTGCACGTACACATTGACTAGTAGAAGACCCAAAAGGCAGATCCAACTGATCTTGGCCATTGAACTAAGTCAATCCAACGACCTAGACTGCTCGAATGGCGAACGTTAAACGTGTTTAACATGCATTTAATATCATACCAAATATTGTAGTAATCACATAATCAACACACAAATAATAAGATACCTAATATCCACGTGCAATTAATATATTACGTAAATATTAACGTGTGTTGCACATGCGTATTTACTACTAGATGAGAAATAACATACTCCCCTTTCATCTACATAAGGCTTAATGTGTTTTTCAAGACCGCCTTTAAATATTGACAAGGTTAATAAGACATGAGATGTACAATACTTTAAAAATTATATCATTGAAAGCTCCTTTCATATATGAATTTGCACCAAGAAAAATCTACAGCTGCAAATCAGAGTGACACGTAGGACCAACCAAAGAAAAAAGAGAGAAGTATTTTCCGCAATGAGGGACGCGGCCAGACAGTCAAGATTCCGCTAAAACCATAAACAAAGTAGCATCACTACCGATCGATCGACGGCCCTAGATTTCCGCTGCGATTAACAATGCCGCGCTGCTGGCACCTGAGTGGATCGTACGAGCTCCCCGACCAAGGCCGCGAGCGGGGTGGGGTCAGCTGCATAGAAATTGAAAAAGAGGGCAGCGAGAAACACGTACGAGGCCAGGGGAGACGAACCCCCCTTCCTTTCCATCCCCCCCTGCTTATAATACTCCCCCACCATCGCCACAACTTGCATGCGACGCCATGACGACTAGTACTACCCCTGGCCTCCGGCTGGATGCACTGCATCCAGCCCTCCCTTTCCCCGCCTTCGTTCTTTTTCTTCCTGCTCTCATCTGCCTGTCTGCATCTCCCAGTCCATGAACCAGCGATCGTAGAAGTCCCGGTCGGTGCTGGAGCACTGCCGATGTGCATACCAAGCTTGATGCCCAGGAAAAGATGCTAGCTGATGTGCCATCGGTTTCACCAGGTAGACATACACATGCTTCGATTTTTACGTTGACATCTGCCTATGCATGTGATGGTATATCTATTTTTGTCGGTGTGTACGTACCTTGCTTACATACATACACATGTGCGCGAAAGCTCGTAATCAGTAATTGCATGCTTGGATTGTACTACTCGGGGACTCACGGATGAATTAGTAATGAGTATATATTTGATTGCTATTTTTGTCCTACATATATAGTTAGGGATTCTTTCCCAGATACTAGATGTAATTAGTAATGGTTGTGTTAGTTGGGAACTGGTCTTTGGGGTAATCATTTCGCCCTGTTTACTCGTAGGAAAATTTAGGGGCTGGCCGGGTCCCTTTTCTGAAAGAACAAGGAATGCCATTTTGTCTACTTTATGATGTTGTCCTCCTTTTTTCTATGGCTTTACAGAGTTTTCTTCTTGAAATGTAGTAAAACGGAACCTCTAGCTAGGTATACACGTAAAGCTTACGCAAGGAAAAGACTGGTTACTGAGTACTCCCTCTGTAAACTAATATAAGAGTGTTTAGATAACTAAAATAGTGATCTAAATGCTTTTATATTAGTTTACGGAGGGAGTAGCTTGATTGCTTCACATGCTGATAAGATATCCTTTTTCGCAACAATCCACAGGATTTGTAGATTGCCAGATCTGATCTGATTCAGCGAGAATTCTGAGCTACCAAAGCTGCTTCGACTCAAAGCTCTACCACTGCCCTATCTTGCACTTTAAGAAGACTCGATCGTCACGGAAAGAGCAGACAGAGGTATCAAATTCCATGCTAGCTCCTCATGTTCTTGAGCGCAAGAAATGAGTCTTCCGAGTCGGAGGACATCCAAGAACTGATCAACAGTGGCCTCAAGTGCAACGCATCCACGCCAGCCGACGACATGGAGAGCGGCAGAGGCGGGGCACGAGCCGCCGGAAGCACGTCGTCGTCATCGCCCCTGCCCATGGTTCTGCCGTCCGAGCAGAAAGCACGGTACAGCACGGAGGAGGATCCCAGTCGTTGCAGCTGCAGCGATAGCTTCTTCGGCAAGTACTTTTCATTCCTCCTGCTCATGTTCGTCACCGCGTCGCTGGTGATCCTCCCGCTAGTCCTGCCACCGCTGCCTCCGCCTCCGTCGATGCTGATGCTGGTGCCAGTGGCAATGCTGGTGATGCTCCTGGTGCTGGCGTTCATGCCGACGTCAGGCGGCCGCAGTGCGACGGGCCCGACTGCCTACCTGTAGATAACTAGTACGTCCTTTTCTTGTTTTTTCTTTTGGATTTGGTGATAGGGTAGTCATGGAATCAAGTTTATGCCCATCAGTTGAAGCCTAGAAGGTACCTGCTGCTTTTCCCCGTATACTAAATGAGTATTTATCATGGGACTTGTCCAGCTAAATGAGGCCTTTGGTCAGAACAACGCCGTGACTAATTTGCGCCTTCTTTATTAACTATGCTTTGCCATATTAGCACGAAACATTGTAGTACAAGGAGATGAATTTACGTATTTTACCATGATAATTGATGTTGTCATTTTCAAAAGCCATTTAATTTCTTGAATACACAGGGCTCACTATGGTTCGAGGCTTCCAGCACCTGATTGTGAAATTTTCATTATTTTTTAATATCAATAAGCCTTCGTTATTCTCACTTGTTTCTTGTGATACCAGGCAATAGCTTTCATGTATGTTTACAGCTGCTACATAAAACATGCACCCACTTGATAACATGCATCATTTGAAGATTTCAACATGCCACTGATCATGATTTTCTTGCATATCATCTAGGAATTTCTTTGCTTCAGCAACTTGTTTTCCCATGATCGTTCCTCCTGCGACAGTGTCAAGCATGTTCTTTGATAAAAGATTTAAAGTTTTATAAAAACATGAATAATTAACCATTCTTTCATGTCATGGTTAGTACAATTCTTAACAACTTCTTTAATACGTTCCCACATAAGCGCTAGTGGCTTCCGGTCTTCCTGCTTGAAACATGTAATATTAGCATGTAGATGCATGGTTTTGTAAGCAGAAAATAGGTAATGTTAGCCTTTCCTCTTAATTAAAAATGATTAAGAATAAATTTTACTGCATTGAGATCAATATCTTTTATGTAAGCTGTGTCAGAAAGCTCAGTAAAAGTATGTAGATGCATACCCGCGTCTTCTGAAGCAGATCCTCCAAACTGGTTTAGCTGAACCCTAGTAAGTAGGTTCGGTTTTATTTATTTTTAGAACGAAGGCTCGCGAAGAGCCCGGCTTTGAATTAACAAAGTCATCAACCGGCCAGGAAATACAAACACACACACACCCCACGACCAAACGATACAAGGGGACACTCTAGGAGGCTTACAACTCAACGGGTCGCACAAGCTCAAAAAAAATACAGGAAAACAAAGCTCGAAGCTTGTCCTAGCCGAAGACTACAGCCATCTAGGGATGAGGCACACACGAGCATGACGAGGACCTGCTTGCAACAGAGTGTGGCAAGTGAGCCCGACCAACGCCCAAGTAGAAAGACAACACACATCCGCCGTCTCTCTCGCCGCAGAGGGACCCTTCCCTCTCGCCATGGCTCGCAAGGCGCCGTACCCGGTGATGAAGCTATGTACCTAGGGTAGGGTCATGGACCTGTCCAACTTACCCTCCCCAAGGACATCTCTACAAAGAATTAGAAACAGTCAAAGAGAAACCATCAACCACTCGAAGAGGAGATGCACTCACTTCGACCACCTTGAAGACACTCGACCACCAAAAGATGAGGAACCCTCCACTCTGCAATGGTCAGGACTTAAACCATAGCATTATGAGCATTTATGACGCTTTACTATAGACGTTACTAGTAACGCCTTTCCTTTATGAACATTGAATCCTGTGTAACCGAGGGGAGCTGGGGTCCTGCCGCACTCTATATAAGTCACCCCCCTCCTCTGAGACAGGGGTTGGCATATTTTGTAAACTCACACACACACGTATAATCCAGTCGACCGCCTCAGAGCACCGAGACGTAGGGCTGTTACTTCCTCCGAGAAGGGCCTGAACTCGTAAAACTCGCGTGTACAACTTCTTCATAGTTAGGATCTTGCCTCCTCATACTTACCCCCCATTCTACTGTCAGTCTTAGATCCACGACAGTTGGCGCCCACCTTGGGGCAGGTGTCTTAGCGACTTATTGGAGAAGTTGCAATTTTTTCCGATCCCCATCACCATGATTCCAGGCGGAGGTTTGGCTGAGGGCCGCGAGATCCATCTCGGCGCGCTCGTGTTTGTCGCCGACGACTCTGCTTGGCTTCAGGAGGCACCACTCGACGTCGACGTGCTCCCCGCCCGCGGGGCGATGCACTTTCACGCGTGCGTCCGCGGCGTCCTCATGCGGCAACCGTCGACCCAGTACCAGTCGACTCCAACGGCTTTCTCCCTCCCTGCGACCCGCCGGAGCAAGCGCACCGGCCGGTCGAGACTTCAACGGTGGGTGAAGCATGCGGTGGCCCGCCAGTCCGCCACCCCTCAAGTCGCGGCGATCGAGCTCGACGAGTCTCTCTACGGCCTGTTCGATTTGTCGACTGGCTCCGTAGAGACTGCATCCGAGTGCGACAGCAACGAATCGGCAGCGGAAGTCCTGGTGGTCAATGGACCACGCGGCCCTCCTGGCTTCGATCGTGAAGACGGAGGTGACGGGAACGGAGGTCCGTCGCGCGTTCACGAGGAGTACCGCCCCGAGCCTCTCTCCTCGCAGCAGAGAGAAGAACTTCATCGCCGAAACATGGATACCCTACATACTCCTATAGTTGGAGATACACCCGAGACCCAGGCCTTGGAGTAGGCTCGCCTGGCCAATCTGGCTGAGCGCACTCGACTGGAGAACCTCCAGCGCGCACTCGACGATCACGCTCGTGAACGTGCTCCTGAGTCCAGCCGACGCCAGCTTTTTCCACCTTCGGCTCAGGTATACCGAACACCGATCCAAAACCTAGCAGCTGCTGCCCAAATAGCAGAGTCGATTCAACCTTCCCAGTCAGAAGCTGGCCGAGGTCTGGCGCAGATCAGGGCCTTGCTCCGGGCAGCAGGAGAGCAGAATACGGCCGTGTCTCAGTCGCGGGATAGGATCCATAGCAGATATGTGGTTGCAGATATGGTCCAGTCGGCCCACAGCCTGAGATCGCCCCGAGGCGTGAGGGACGTGGAGAGCAGCGTGATCAGTACAAAAACCAGGAGCAGTATGATCATCGAGCCGATCGCGATGGTCGCCGTCGAGTGCCCACGCCTCCTCCAAGGAGTGGGTCATACGTGCCGCGGCCACATGAAGACAGACGCCCTAACAGCGTCAGAAGAGGTATTCCAGTCGACCCCAGGGAGCCAGGCTTTGATGCGAGATCTATTCTCGTGCAGGGCTTGGTCGACAGAAACAGAGCTCATGGAGATGGCCATGACAGATGCCTGCAAACCAGCAATAGGGTGCATGTCTCTGGCCCAGAGTGCTTCAGCAGAGCTATCAGAGCTGCAGTGATTCCCCCCAACTTCAGGTTGGCGACTGGAGTCAGTAAGTTCACCGGAGAGTCCAAGCCTGACACCTGGCTCGAAGACTACCGAGTGGCTGTCCAGATTGGTGGCGGCAATGATGAGGTGGCCATGAAACACCTTCCTCTGATGTTGGAGGGCTCGACTAGAGCGTGGCTGAATCAGTTGGCACCTGGCAGCATCTATACTTGGGAAGATCTCGCCCGAGTGTTTGTCAGAACGTTTGAGGGAACTTGCAAACGGCCAGCAGGTTTGACATAATTACAGTGTTGCGTCCAGAAACCGAATGAAACTTTAAGAGATTATATCCAGAGGTGGATCACCCTGCACCACACGGTGGAAGATGTGTCTGATCATTAGGAAATTTGTGCTTTCAAGGAAGGCGTCAGGTACCGGGAGTTGAATCTGAAATTCGGTCGGACAAGAAACATGACTCTGACTCGGATGATGGAAATTGCGACCAAGTATGCCAATGGTGAAGAGGAAGAGCGACTGTGGAGCGGCAAGCACAAAGCAGTCGCCCACGAAGCCGGAGGAGGAAACTCTAGTCGGAAGCAAAAACGCAAGGCCGAACCAGCTGCTCCGGGTGAGGCCTTGGCTGTGGTTCAAGGAAAGTTCAAGGGGAATCCCAAAGGGCCGTGGAACCCCAAGAAAGTAAAAGATCAAGATGGAAATGACGTGTTGGATCTGCCGTGCCATATCCACACCAAAAAAGACGAAGAAGGTAATTTCATTTACCCAAAGCATACCACTCGATAGTGTCGGCTCCTGACCCAGCAGTTCCGAGAGAAACAGCCCAAGGAAAAGGAGAAGGAGGCAGACAAGGCTGAGAGTGAAGGAGAAGATGATGATGGTTATCCTCACGTGAATTCCACTCTGATGATTTTTGCTGATGTTGAAAACAAGAGTCGATTGAAAGTCGTCAACAGAGAAGTGAACATGGTCGCTCCGGCGACACCCAGTTACTTGAAATGGTCGCAGACTGCCATTACGTTCGACCAGTCTGATCATCCAGCGCACATCGCCACCCCTGGGAGGCAAGCGCTGGTGGTCGACCCGATGGTCGAAAGCACTCGACTGACAAAGGTCCTGATGGACGGTGGCGGTGGCCTGAACATTCTGTATGCAGAAACGTTGAAAGGAATGGGCATTCTGATGTCCAGACTTAGTGAAAGCCATATGAGTTTCCATGGGGTCATCCCAGGCAAGAAGGCTACGTCCCTCGGTCAGATTGCACTTGACGTGGTTTTCAGTGATGCCAAAAATTACCGCAAAGAAAAGTTGACGTTTGAAGTCGTGGATTTTCAGAGTGCGTATCATGCAATTCTGGGCAGGCCAGCTTATGCATGATTCATGCCTCGACCTTGTTATGTGTACCTCAAACTGAAGATGCCTGGTCCCAGAGGAGTGATCACTGTCTCTGGTAATCGGAAAAAGGCGGAAGAGTGTTTCCAGAAGGGCTCAAAGATCGCCGATGCCCAGATGGCCGTGGTAGAATTGCAAGAATACCAGAAAAATGCAGACCCGAGTGACTTGCTGCGAGCCAAGAAGCCAGCCACGGATTCAGCATTCCAGTCGTCTGGCGAGACGAAGTCTGTTCACATTCACCCGACGGACCCCAATGCAGCTCTGACCCACATTTCGACCACACTCGACTCCAAATAGGAAGAAACGCTCATCCAGTTCCTCCGTGAGAACTGGGACATCTTTGCATGGAAGCCTTCTGAC